GTTCGCCCCTGAAAAAGTGCCATTCTGGATGCTGCAGCCAAGGCCAGAATCAAGGTCCTCCATGAACTGTGGAAGCCCACAAGGCCCACACCACCAGCAGTCATTGCAGGACCCCACAGGAGGCTGCCCAGAGGCACCAAACCCAACTTCACACCAAAACCATGCTTGGAATATACTGTATTTCAAGTCCTCAACACAAGTGCTGAGAGTAGTTTGAGGGGTATTTTGTCCTTACACTTTCTCCAGTCTCACATGCAATTATTTAGGAAGGTCCCAATGTTATAGTTCAGCATTTGGACTGTGAGAACTACATTGGTATGCCACCAAAGAATTAAGCTTTTTCTCACCCGTAATAAAAGTCACCCAATAAACTCTTTGGCACCTGATTTTTAGGTTTGTTTTTTTTTTAATTTTTATATATATATACATATACATATATAAAAAGATAGCCTTGTTAGACTGCCTGACCATGTCACAACACTTGATACATTACAGATACAACAGGATTAAAGCTTACATTTTGGAAGATATCAAACCACATACTTTTTAAGGACTGTTGACTACTTAAAAATATTTGTGATTACACTTTCTTCCCCTGTTCCTCAGCAATGTAGCAGCCTATCTAAAATGGTTATAAAGAAAATTAAAAAAAAAAAATATAAGAATGGCAGAACTTACTTGAAGTGTCTTCACTCTCAATAGAAATAACTGCAGTCTTAGGGAACTTAAAGAGAAAACATTTTGACTTTTAACTCACTGGTTTATCTTAGGAACACATCTATCTCCCATGTCATCTTCACATGCTATAAAACAGGGATGGGCACCACAGTCTGAGGACTTTGCAATTGAAAAAGCACTTCCAAGGCTGTTTCTCCTGATGGAAGCACTTGAGCCTTTGCTACAGCAGCTGCTTGTGGAACATGAGTCAGGAAACTGATGCAGGGGAAGAATGATCTTTATTCTGAACTGATACAAGCTGAGTTGTATAGGAAAAAAATGCACGTATTCTTAACTGGGATCCATTTCCCAGTCTGGTTTGCTGAACAGACCCACAAACTCCAGCACGGCCCAGCTGGGGAATTAAAAGAGGCTGCTTACACCTACACCACTGCATAAAGGAGATGAGAAGACAAAATTACAGTTCGAGTTTAGAATGACACTGAGAAAGTTTTACCTATTGCACACCAGCCATCTCTGGAAGGGCAATAAACTGTTTACAAGATCTGTGGCGTCGCAGCAGATTTATCATGTAGACATAAAGAGAGGAGTCACCCTGTTTCCGTGACAAAGTACCATAAATATATAGGGAGATATTGTTCTGAAAAAGATCCGTATAGCTTGACTGCTGCAACAAGTTCCCAGCATAGCTGCTTTTCCTGGAGCACTGCCATCATATTTTCTTATCGCTAACTGAAGTAACTAACCAGCTAACTCCCACTGATGTGCTTTGCCTTCTAGATCTACATAAAGGTCATTTGCAAGGGAGAAAGGCGGGCATAATAAATAAATAAATAAAAAGAAGCCATTGTGCCACATCCACGGCTTTGTTTCCAAAAGTCACTAAGAAGTGCAAAGCCAGGCTGAAGTGTTTGACTATTCAGTAAGTACAAGGAGTGGCCAATTCCCTCCCCACAGCGAGACTGTTGACAGCTGTTTTAGAGGAGAAAAAAAGTGAAGCATGACTAAGCTATTCATAAAAACCACATTATATCTAACACCCTAACAACAAGTTTTGGTTTAGAAAAAGTGCAGTGCTTCCTGGTCATGAATGTCCAGGTGGTACATGACAGCCCTGAATCAGGCTTCCAACTGAATTATATCCCCCATGGCAAACCCCACAGCAGCAGAGCAGAACTCTGTCTACACCCAGAGATATCAGCTGCCTCACAACGTCATTCATTACCTTTATCTGTCCTACAGGTGATCAATGCAAGCGAGCACATGAGCACTTGGCACCAAGCAGCACCCAGTAATCACAAGCTGCAGACTGCAAGGTGCTTTCCACCCCAGCTTTCCACATCCAGCCTCTCATGTGCCTGCAAATAGGAGTTATCCTCCAGGTGGAAATCACACCAACTGCCAATGCTCCATCCAGGAGACCGGTAAAACATGGGCCCACAACTACTCAGAGAGGGCACATCATGCCTTTATGGCCTCCTGGACTACCTAGCCTTTTGCTCAAGTTTTTTATTTCTTACCACTACCTTCCACCAGCAGAGCAAAGCCAAAACCAAACAGTTCCTCCATACTAATCAGCTGTGTGGTTTAGCTGACTTCAGGCTATTTATTGCCTGTGTGGGGAACCCCTATAGAAATAGCATTTAATAGCACTCAAGTAGATTGCAGAGATAACCAGCTACAGTAATAAGCAGAAAAGCTCCCAAGCTGCTTCAAGGTCAGTTTTATTGGCGAGTGGATGGCCATCAAATACCAGGCTGTGAAAACTGATACACTGGTGTCCCAGAAAGTACATGGAAAAGAGATAGGTACAGCAGGCCCAGCAGCTTCTACTAATGATTTTTTTTTGTTAAGTAGCTATTTATTAAAACTTATTATGCCAGCAGAAAATTATATGAAAGCACCCACTGCCTTTATAACACATGAGCCTGTGCATACCACCAACAAACCTACCAAGGTTTTTTTTCCTCTAGTCTAATTTATTGACCACTGTCTTAATTCATGCTTTGGATGGAATAACCAGATTCTTTTAACAGTAGTTAATCCTCCTCTTAGCACAGAAGCGTATCCTAGACCAGAACATGGCTTACTCACGAGTATATCCTGCTAAGAGATTAGTAGCAAGTTCTGCATATGCCTGAGTCTCAAAGCTTCCCTACACAGGGGATGTTTTGAAAACATCCATCATTGGACAGTACCTGGTAGAGCTCTATTCCTATGAGAAGCTTTGACTTCTTAACTATGTTTTCCTCCTTTGATGCAGCAAAGCTGTAAATCACGAACATCGAGCTCCTGCCTTTCTCTCTGGCTGCAGTCCCTGGCTGGACTCTGTTACTTCGAACACGTTGCGTCCTCACCTCTCGGGCTATGCCGGCTATCCTGTGGCCGCCAGAGCCAGGCAAGAGATGAAGGCTGGAACGCTGTCAAGAAACACAGCTCATCCACACTACCCGCGGGAAACTCATCATTCAGGCTACCTACAAAACCTGTCTGCCTGGCAGAACTCAACATCCGTGCCCTTCTAGCAACAGCCCCAGGCCAGCCTGTCTGCCCAGCACCGGGCAGCGCTGGAAGGACAGACAGGCGACGTACAGGCTCAACCCATGAACGCGGAAGACAGGTACGCACTTGAACTCGTGCCAAGGGAAAACACATGCCCAGGTGATCCTCACCTTGCCTAATGCACTCTTACCCTGCTATCAGGCTTGGGGGAAGAAAAAAAAAAAAGCAAACAAACCCAACTTAAAGTGCCCAAACAAGATACTGTCACCATGGAAGTGTCCCAAAGCATAGCAAGCGCCTTCTGAGTGGATGCTCCTCTAGTGCAGACAGCAGCTTCTATCCACAGGCACAGATGTTATGAGGTTAATGTCAATCTGCTCCCACTACTAAGGTATCTATGTATAAAAATACACCTCCTCTAACATTGTAATAAATGAATCACTAGTATCTTAACTTTCAGGAACTACGTGGAACTTGGTTCACCCTTTTCCACAATAGCTCGGCAAGGGCGTGCAAAACATGAAAAACACACCCGGCAAGGGACGGGGGAGAGTCATCACAAACTGAAATAATGTAGCTTGGCCCTTTAAAACTGATTAGATTACATTAGCCAAAACTCCCAGTACACAAGACATCCATGGATCTCAGACCAACTGTCTAAACTCAGCTCTGAAGCTACATGCTTTACATATTTCTACTGCATCGCATATCTCCATGAGTACCTAAAGTTTTACGGCTGATGAAGATCACAGAGAGCTACAGCAGTACAGGATTTCTAATCCCTTTATCAAGTCCCCGTCTGGTCATCCGCAACAGAATCGGTACAGCACACTCTTAAATGAAAAAAAACTTTTATAAATCACTTTTTTTCCACTTTTGAGCTCCAGCTAACATGAAGCCCTGTAAAGGACACTGGAGCAGAACCAATTCCAGAGGTCAGCAAAATCGAACTCTCCAAATCCCAACTCCTCTATATGACTTGCAGGGACAACACAGTCATAGAAGGTAGATTAATAAACCCCAACAGTTCTCAGGTCAAGAAGAACTACCCTTTCCCAATCCTCATCCAGAAACTCATGCATTTGCTCCAGAAGAAATGTCCGCACTCGAGAAGAACAAAAAATATTTTCAGGCAATAGAGTGAACGCATGGAACAGGCCCTATGGCAATGACCCTCTGACTGACTTCAAAGGCCACTAAGCCCCAAAGGTGACACGCACCAACACCGGCGTGTTGCGGGGGGGCTCTTGATACGAACCCCCGACGACTTTCTGTGAAATAAACTGAGATACAAAGTTGCGTCTGCGAGGCTGGAGGGGGTTCCACATCGGGGTATCAGTAGTTCCAATGGGGAGGGGGCCAGGCGGGTGCGTGTGCCGGAGCACACACCCGGAGCACACACCGGGGCTCGTCCCGACCCGTCCCCGCGGCAGCGGGGCCGCCACCCCCGCCCGGCTGCGGGGGGACCGCGCCCGGCCCCGGCCCGCAGACAATAGCGGCGGGGAGCAGCCGAGCGAGAAAACACACCAAATAGAGGGAAAACTAATACGAGCCGCGAAATGAAAGGGAATAAAGCCACGCGGAGACAAGGGGCCGCCCGGAGCGGCTCCACGCGAAGTTGCGGCGGAGAAAACCCCCCGAGGAAGAGGAGGAGGAGGAGGAAGGGCGGGGGAAGCGTGCGAGGGCGCGGGAAGGCGGGGGGGGCTCCCGCACACCCCCGTCCCCGGGGAGCGCCCACCCCCTCCGCCCCCCACCCCAAGCCGGGGGCCTCCCCAAACTTTCCCCCACCCCTTCGCCCAACTCCAGCGGGGCAAACTCACCGCGGGGCCCGGCGGGCGGCTTCGCCCCTGGCAGCGGGGCCGGGTGGGAAGGGAGAGGGACGGGGACGGGGAGGGGGCGGAGGAGGCGGCCGGGCCGGTGCTCTCCGCCCGGGGAGGCGGGCAGGAAGGAGGGGAGGAGGGCCGGGGGCTGCCGCCCTCGCAACCTGAGCCGGCGCCGCGCCCGCCCCGCGCCCGCCCCGTTCCAGCCCCGCTCCAGCCCCGCGCCCGCCCCGCATGCGCCGCCCGAGCGGGGCCGTGCGGGGCCGGGGCAGCTGCGGGCGGAGCGGACGCGGACGGCTCTTGCTCGGGGATGAGCTCCAGCTGCGCCTGCCCTGCGTCCCCAGGAGGGCTGGGGAACCCCCGGGACCTCCTTCCCCCGGGGCTTCGCCGTCCAGTGCGCTCCTTTCCCGGTTACTCGGCCGTTGTGGGAGATGGAGCTGTTGGGTGTAACGTTGTGCTGCGGGTGTGAAAGGACATGGGCAGTTTAGGCTGCGGGTTTGTTTTTGTCTAAGGGGGATCTGAGGGTTGCTCCGTGCCTGGAAAAGGACAAGGCCAGGTTAGATGGGGCTCTGAGCAGCCCGGTCTAGTGGAAGGTGTCCCTGCCCATGGCAGGGATGATCTCTAAGGTCCTTCCAACCCAAACTAGTCTATGATTCTATGATCCTACCTTCCCACGTGCTGAGTTCCAGGGGTAAGGGCCTGTCCTGGTTGGGGATGGGTTCCTGGCATCCCTTTCTTCAGGAGTTAAACCCCCTCCTAGTGTCCAGAACCCAGGCTGTCCAGCTGCAAACGGGATCTGCTGCACGTCACAAACCCAGCAGCTCCTCTTGAGCCTCACCAACCCAGCCCACCGACTCATCCTATTCCTCACCCTCTTTCCCAGTTCCCATATGGTTGTGTGCAGCGTGTACGTTTGATGGAGAAACATCTCCTATACCGTTCCCACACCTTGCCCTGGAAAAACAGTGGAAATGGCAACCCACCATTAGCAAATGAGCTCATGTGGCCTGTGGTCCGCGTGTGGCTGGGCTAGAGGAGGCCCCGCGGAATGAAATTGAATGATCTGTTGTGGTGGTCACTTTCCTTCAGTTTCAGTTTTTGTTGGAAGCTCTTTGGAAATGTTTGCATGTGGTGGCCCAACATTTCCACTTGGCTTCACCTACTGCACACACGTGTATCCCGCTAGCCCTGGTGGCCACATGATCATATCCACAAAGGCAGTGCCAGCGCTGAGTTTAACATGCATGTCCTGCCCCACCACAGCTGGGCAGCCTCACCTCATGACAACCACCCCAAAAGTACTTCACACAATACTTTCCAAAGAGACCTTGCTGCTGGCCAGAGCACTGGGCAAAGGCTGCAGGTAATTCCTGTACACCATATTCTCTCTAGGTAGAACAGAAATAATAACACAGTTTACAGTGCAGAAGATTATCTGCTGAAAACCCTGTGGGTGAACTTGGCATTAGCTTCCTAAATATGCACTGTTGATTCAGTTTAAAGCAACTGAAATAATAAAAATGGTTTCAACACTTGTGCACTGTGGTCATTTTGGAGACTGGAATGTGCCGGCACTTTACCACCAGATGTAAAACAGTAGTTTTTCTTACATGGCTCCAACAGGATAAGGCACATGAGAGCAGGGACCCTGGAAAAACATTTTCATTTGCCTTCCTGTCACCTCTACAAAAGGGACTTATGAGGCAGATCACTTGGAAGTTCCCAGAACCAAGGAGTCAGGCACAGCGATGGCTCAGCTAAGAGCACCATCTAGTGAAAAGCCACTTCTTGACGAAACTCAATCCCCTACAAAGCGCCAACCAAACAATGACTAACTCAGCCCAGCCCAGCCCAACCTGCCTCATCCCATCTGAAGCAATCGTGAGCAAGGTAGCGTGGTAACAGATAACAGCTGTCTAAAATTTTCCATAACACACACACCAAGATCTTTAGCTCTACCCTCTTGGTTGTCCATCAATGGAACATTTCCTTGCTTGTCAACTCCAGCCTGGCAAGTCAACCTCTGTCTTCTGCTGCCATGCCTGGAGCTGACACAGCTCCAGTCTTGCTGTAGGTGCCCCCCTCAATCACACTGTGGGGGTCAGAAGCCCCAAAGAGAGGGCTCAACCTCCCAGATGAGCCTGTACCAGCTGTGTACATGGCCTTGGATATGGTCTCATATGTGCTGCTCTTGCAAATAGTTTGGAAATGCTTTCAGGGAGTCTTTTCAGCAGAAGGGTGTGCAGGTCACACCATGTGCCAGCATGGCTTCCCAGGAGCATTTACCATAGTGATAATATTCTAAACCAAGAGGGAAGGAAATTAGCATGGAAAATACTGAGAAAAGACAATACAGAAGCTTAGCACCAAAGCAGGAGGATCAGCTGATGGGCCCCATTTATCAGAAGTGTTATGATCCTTTCAGACAAAGAAGGTAAATCAAAATACAGGCAGAGAAGGTTTAATTTTTTTGTATCAGAAATATTCCCTGCCAGAGTGGCAGCTCTTCTCCAGCTGCCTACATATCCCCAGAGTGCCAGGAGCTGGTGGCGACAGGAAGGGAATTAGCAAAGGGTAGGCAGCTCCCCAGACTGCCAGGGGTCAGACAAATGATGAGTTTAGATTTGAGCCCAGCTCCCCCTTGCCTGTGGGAGGGCTCCTGGTGCCCCAAGACCAGAGGCCACCAAGTATCTGCCATGAAAAGGCTGTATCAGCCACTTGAGATGCCCAGCCCCTGCTCTCAGTAGCACTTAACACATCTTTTTACCTCTCTTTTCCCCAAGATTAGTCTGCACTATACTTTAATCTTTAAATTATTATCCACCCCCAAATTCTCTATGTCAAAATATCCTGTCTGCACCCACATATCACCACAAACCAAAACAAGGAGGCAGTAGAAGGAAAATTTGTACAGCACTCTGGGGATGCCAACCTCCCGAGAAATCATTTGCCTTCAGATCATCTCTGACACTAGTTCCCCAGGATTCCACCCTCTGCCATATGTCCAAATCTGCTTTTCAAACACTATAAAAAATAATAAAATATATCAGATGTCCTTTTATTGCCTCTTTCAGATTTTAATTTGTCACAAACTTTGCTGCAGGGCTCCCTGATTCTTGCTAGGGAAACTGGATTTAAGTGCGAGTTACACTCGTGAATGAGACTGGAATTTGGTCCTGCACAACATAATCTGAACATTTGTGTGTAGTGGCATGAATTAGCAATATGAGCGCATTGTTCCCATTTGCTGGAAATGAGCTGTCCTTGCAACTGAATAGAAAACAGAGTGCAGTGCAATGATGGAACCAGCAACTATTAAAGATTTGTTTTCATCACATTCAAGCAGCTACAGAACTGAGACACTGAGCATTAGTGTGCCTGACAACAGTGTGTGGTGTTTTCTTTGTGTCCTTGCTTGTTGGAAGCCAGTGCCTGGTAGCTGAGATAACAGCAGCTACACCTGAGGAGGTTTTAATGTCATTTTCCTTCTTCAAACTCTACCAATGTCATCTCTAAAGTCCTGTGAGCGGTACAACCTTTGCTGCAAAATTATGTACTGTGGCTGAAAGCAGCCTCCAGGAGAAGTTAACCCATTCCTATGCACTATATATATATCACAGTTAAAATGTAAAAGTTGTTAGTGTGTCACAATCATCAGACATTGGAGTTCGCCCTTGGGAAAGGAGATAGCCTGGAATGGGTGAACTGCAGTAAAACCCGCACAGAACACAAACATTTAATGACTTACAAAATTATATTAATGAATTCAAAGAAAGTTCCCTGGGTTCTTCTACCCCTCTGTGGAAAGTTTTTGGGGCTTTGGCAGGAGAAAAAAGGGTGCAGGCTTGCATCTAGCTGTCACCCACCGTGTACCCCAGCCACTCATCACGGCTCTTTACAATGATTTCTCAATTCTGGGAGGCAATGCTTATCAGTTGCTCATGCAGATGTCATTTTAGTTGCTCAATTGATGGGGCACATCTAGCACGTCCACCTCTGCAACTCACAGGGCCCCTCCATGTGCTGATAAGCTGTGCTAACACCGAGCTCTCAAAATTCCCCCTTACACATATCACTGGATAAATACTGATATAAATACCGGGTTTAATTTTGGACAAAAATTTCCTGTTACTAATGGTCAAAGGACCTTAAAACAGGTAAGGGAACTCCTCTGCTGAGAGCCCCAGAAGAACTACACCCACATGAATTTTGTGACAGGCACAAATCATCGTATTTCACTTCGTATTTGCTATAAATATTCTCCAGACCAAAGAAATCATCTAGTGAAGTCCATGTAGTACCTGCACCTGCTGCCCTGCTGAGTCTGTATCTGGAGATTCCAAGCAGTTCACATAGAAACAAGAAATAAAAGCAATGAAAGGATGAGATGAGCTCCACAATTGCCTTTGCCATCCCACAGGGATAAGGCATGGGCAGGTGTCTTGCACACAGGGTGACATTTCATTCCCTCCTGCCTGGGCTAAGAAATAATATCCAGATTGGATGGGGCTTTGAGCAGCCTGGTCTAGTGGAAGGTGTCCCTACCCATGGCAGGGGGGTGGAACTAGATTATCTTTAAGGTCACTTCCAACATAAACCATTCTATTATTCCACAGCCTCTTACTGCCTCTGCCAGACCTTTAAAGATCTGACAGTGTTGGCTTGGCCCAGCAGGGGCTTGAACTGTACCTGTGGCCTCCCCCTCTGTTCAGTCCTGTAGGATAGGTGCTAGGGAGAGCAGAAAGGGAGGGCTGAAAGGGGACTTGCAGGCTGCAAACACTATCATTAATCCTCCTGGGACAGTTTTCTCTTCCTCTTCAGCTTTATACTTCATGCTTTGTCAAAGGACACTGTTTACAATCATCTGCTCTAGCCATCCTGTTCTTTTCAATAATCTTTTTAATTTAATACGATTCTATTTCTGTCCTCAGCAAGGGTTGTTGTCCAGGTACGTGCAAAGCAAGGGATAGGCAAATCTATGCCAAAAGGCTTTATTGAAGTATCAGAAAACATCCATCAAATCAATTTATGAAACTGAATTATGTGGGACCCCAGGAGTAAAACCTGACAAACACAGTTAAATTGATAGCAGACTAGGATAAAAGCTTTTATCAACACAGGCTATAAAA